GCCTTCCAAAAGAGGACATGACTAGAAATCCGTGGTTAAGTTGTAGTTACAACACTGTTCCAGATCAGTTTGACCCAAATATTCAGATGTGTGCAATGCATTTTATGGAGAACCGTTTCCTGATCTGCCGGCTGTTCTGACTCGCAGATTGTAAGTATGTTTTTAATATTTAAATAATTTGCCACTAAAAAAAAAAAAATCCAATTAAAGTAATATAGTGCTTTGACTTTTAAATCTCAGGGTAGACACTTACGGTATCTTTTTTCTTCCACTGATGCTTTCCTCGGGTACAGCCCTCCAGAGACAGAAACGTGTTGAAGTCTGAGGTTTTCCTCTTACAGCAGCTCCAATATTTCATCCTTTTATGAGGAAGGATAAAAAGAGGACTTATTTGCAGAGTCCACGGACAGATCTGAAATTTCTCCATTTACACTTTTTTAGTACTTTTTAGTAGTAGTATTCAGTTTTGATCTGGCGCTAATTTACCCTTCATGGAAGATAGGTACACCAGAATGATACAAACATGTTTCTTCGTCACCGTCTGGTCCGTTGAACGTCTGAAAAACAGAATAATGAGAATCCATTGTTTATAATGGACTAAAGAAACTCAACGTGCCATGAATTCTAATCGGAGAAGCAGGCAGAGAGAACAGTACCTTACTGCAGCCTCCATTCTTACAGGACGTCCCTATCTTAATTTCATCACTATCCTCCTCTATAATACAAGAAAGAGAATAAAATGCATCAGAATAAAAGACAAATATAGAAAGGTGGGGAAAAGGATGGTTGGGCTATTCTTACCCTTTATCTCCTGTGCATTTTCCTCAGTTAATTTAAGCTTTTCTAAAGCCTGTTTGAGCGAAGGAGAGATCTTCTGCTGTAGAATGGAGAAAGGCTCATCTGGACTACAAAGACAATTAAAAACAGCTGTTTTCAGTCATTTATCCTAAAGAGGTTGTAACATCAATGTGGGTTTTGGCTGGGTGAACTGTTAATGAGAAGAACTTGTTCTCTATAGTAGATTTAATGCTGCATTACATTATCTTCTGAACATCTGAACCAATGAGCCAGAAAATCCAAATGGGGAAGACCCTGTCCTCTTCAAGTGTACTTTTACCTTGGTCGCTGAATAGACTCTAGAGGTTTTGGTGCTTGGGTGATGCATTCATTAAACGTTGGCTTTACATCATTCACACTCATGTCCACAGAGGACTTCACTTCTGGTTTAACAGGCTCAGAGGGCTTCTCCTGATTATGAGGGCCTTTCGTGCAACCCTAAAAGATTCATAAAAACTGTTTTAAGACTCCAGCCACAACTCTATCTACGAAAACGCTCATTCAGTCCCATCACAGGCGAGCACTCACAGCAATACTGAGGAAATCCGAAAAGTCAGTTGTTCGTCTCTTGCAGCAAGACCAACCCTGGGAAGCAATGCCAGACACAATTTAATGGGTTTAACTCTGAGTAACATAACAATGGAATGGTTAAATTTCACATTAATAAGTAAACTGATCTTCTTGCATGTCCATACCTTCAATGCATCATGAAACACTGGCACTCCGGGGTGGTATGTGCATGCGTCTATGCATAAGAAGAGATTGATAGCGTGAAATGTGACGTCAGAAGAATATAGTCACATGTCAGTGTAGCTCAAGTTTGCTACTCCAACAACTACCATCTGTAAACTTAAAAATAATTTACTATATCGGAGCTATTGATTACGCATCATTCAAACGTTAATAACCAGCAATATAGATGCCTCCCTAAATTAACATACTAAACTGACTTTTAAATAAACTTAATATGTGACTCTTGAGAGGCGGTCGTGTTTCGGTAATACTACATGTAATGTATATCAAAAAATGTTATTAAAGATAAAAGGTTTTCTTTCTGCATTTATCCGGCTATCTACCATAGCAAACCGGCTATCGTTTGCTTGTTAAGTCTTACCATCTGAATTCTTGTCGGGATCAAAACGTTGTCCACATCCCTTATTATAACACAGTACAGACATAATGTATGACAGAAATTAAAACGTATATTGTACAACGTGGTCAAGAGGGAATGATCCGAAGTCTTGACTAGCTTGCTGCTGCTGCTTCCCGTCGTGAGGTCCCTCCCTTCCGGAATCTTTCGAGAATTTCCGTAAATTATCGTGCAGCACTTCGGCTCCAATCGTCTATTTTCGGAATGTCTCGGAATTAGTTGGAATGATGGGATCACAGAGTGAGAGATGGGATGCACCACCTAACGGAGTTGGGAATTAAAAACACAGACAAGGCAGTGCATGAAAATGAGCCCTGTTCAATTCTATTTCACACCGTCACATATTTTTTTTCCCGAAGAAAATATCTAATTATCATGAATGTGTTATTTTTATGTTGCAATAATCCTAAATGCGTTTTGAACGATATTCTAAAGAACACCAGTATTGTTTTGCGCGCTCTGTTTAGCGTAATTACATTAATCTAAGTGTCTAATGTTTGTGTGAGATAAGGTTTAGATAATTTTGTTGCTATGGGACAGCAGCAACAACACCGGTTTCGTTTGCGCATTCACGGGATAACGTGTACTCGTGAGCGCGCTTTAGAGGTGCGCGCTCCGCTGATTACAGTCAACTGTGAGTGGCACTGAGTCCTGTATGGCACGAAGTGAAGGATGTAGTTTCACAAAGCGGGCTCTTGGATGTCTGCAGAGCAGAGATTTATTTTTCCCTAAACCAGAGGTAAGAGCTCATTCACATATTTTGATGCACTAATTATCGGAGAACAAGTGACTGCTCGGTCTCAGTAACAAACATCTTTTACTAGAGTCCAAAGCGTTGAAAGTTTCCTTTGATTACAATCGCATTTTAATGTAGACTCGTGCTTTCATAAAAGAGAATCGGTTTTGTTTGACATGATCAAAGTTATTTACTTCAAATGCAAAACAAAAATATAATGCGAAACTATAGGTTATGTGTCATTTATTCACATTTTCTCTTGTTGCTTTTTACTTTAAAGAACATTTGAATATTATTTCAATATTATTTGTTTTGCCTGTATGTCACATATATAGCCTATGGCTATTAACCCTCATTTTTTTGCTGTTATCAATCTTGCAGTGAGATTACCATCTAACTCGCTTGTCAGTGTTTTGTGAAAGGGTATTACTGAGTCCATTGAGAACAGGGTCAGGTATTTATTTATTTTTTGACAATTTAATCCAAACCAAGGGCTTCTTAATAAATAACTGCCTTCACATTTATGTGAGCAATAGGATATGTCTTTGTGAGATGAATACTCTAGATTGAAATGGTTTACTGCAAATATCTCTTTTTTGCAGGATAACTGGATGATGGCATGGCTATAAACAGCTGCCCTGGGGGGAGTATGAGGATCTGTCTCACTAGTTTCTCCTTATTGCTCCTCCACCTACTTCCTTGTTTGGGGCAGCTGCAGGAGCCAGGCTCCTCATCCTTTCAATTTACCGCCTCCATCTACAATGCCACCATTTATGAGAACTCTGCAGCTCGGACATACATTAGGACTGAGGTTAAAATGGGGATTCCACTATCTAAGTTTGGTCCTTTGGATATTAAATATTCCATTGAATCTGGAGATGATGAGGGGCTGTTCCAGGCTGAGGAATTTGTGTTGGGGGACTTTTGCTTTCTTCGCATACGGACTAATGGTGGGAGCGCTGCCATCCTGAACCGTGAAGTGCAGAATAATTATACATTAACGGTGAGGGCTACCGGCCTAGGTGGGCTGGAGGCTTACGTGACAGTTAATGTGCAAATTATGGACATGAATGACCTCCGACCTTTGTTCTCGCCCACTTCCTATGCCATTGATATTTCAGAAAGTTCTCCGCTGGGAGCAAGTGTGGCTCAGGTGACTGCCACTGATGCAGATATCGGCTCCAATGGCGAGTTTTACTATTTCTTCAAAAAAGACGTGGAGGAGTTTGCTGTCCATCCAACCAGTGGGGTGGTATCACTCACAGCCAAGCTAAATGCAGATAAGAACAGCAGATTTGACCTTGAGGTTTTAGCAGTGGATCGTGGAATGAAGGTTTATGGGAACAGTGGTATTAGCAGTACAGCCAAACTAGTGATCAGTGTTGTGCGTATTAATGAGTTCGCTCCAACACTGATTGCAGTCGCACATTACCCTTTAATATCAGACAAAGAGCCAGTTTACGCCACTGTTACTGTAGAAGATTTGGACGAGGGACCCAATGGAGAAATCGAATGGGTTGCCATCATTGCAGGTGACCCACAGGAGCAGTTTTTCTTTGACAGAGCGCCACTTGGAAATGAATACAAGCTGAAGATGTCTGAACCAGTCAACTGGGATAAATTTCCTTATGGTTGCAATCTCACTTTTCAAGCCAAAGACCGTGGAACACCACCAAGACTCTCCAACACTCAGTCTGTTCAGCTCTTAGTGAAAAAAACACAGTCTGTGCAGGTGAGTTTCGAAAAAAAGATTTACAAAACCTCAATTATTGAGATTGCACCACCAGGGACCATAATAGAGACTGTGAGGATATCTCCAAGACCGCCAGTCGTCAGCTATGCTCTAAGCCTGACCTCAGATTCAATTTATTTTATCATTAATCCACTCACTGGTGTCATCTCAACAGCGCAACAGTTTACAACATTAAAACAGGAGCTCTTCAATTTAGAGGTGATGGAGACAGTAAGTGGCATGACAGCAAAGGTGCAAATCACGGTCGAGGATGCTAACGACAACTACCCAGTGTTTATCAGCACATCTTACAAAGTCTCTATCAATGAGAGCATCCCCATCGGCACTGTCATTCTCACTATATCAGCGGTGGATGATGATAAAGGTGATAATGGGTGCATAACATACAGCATAGCTAGCCTTCAGCCCCTTCCGTTTATCATCAACCAAAATACTGGAGAGCTGACGACATCCAAAGAACTGGATTTTGAATCGTCTTTGGAGACATACATGTTCGCTGTCCGAGCCTCAGACTGGGGATCGCCTTACAGACGAGAAAGTGAAGTCAATGTCACGGTACAAGTGTTGAACATTAATGACAACCAACCTCTTTTTGAGCGTGTGTCATGTAAAGGTACGATAGGATGCGATTTTCCTGTGGGTCAGACGATCATCATAATGTCTGCCATTGATATCGATGAGCTTGGGTTGGTTAAATATAAGATTCTGTCTGGAAATGAGCAAGATGTCTTCACTCTTAACCCGGACTCGGGGATGTTGTCATTAAAAAGATCTCTCTCCTCAATGAGTGTAAAGAATGAACAGTTCAGCTTGAAAATAGCTGCGTCAGATGGCGAGCTGCTCTCCGCACCCACCTTTGTAAATATATCAGTGGTCATTAAGAAGAAAAAATGCTTAGTTGCTTAGTTACGACTTGTTATGTGGTGCCAGCTTCACTATTAATTACAACTAATGACTATTGATTAGAGAACTACAACGGGCAGTAGGATGTAACTGTAGTCCTCCATTCACATGTCAGCTAATTAGGCTGAGCCTGTTAATCAGGCCCCTGTTTAAAGTAAGCAAGTGGTGCACGCTTGTGCCAGAACCTCAAATGAGCATGGATTTTCCACAGAGAATTGAATGCCCTACCAGCAGCAAAAGACAAGTTGTAGGGGAAGCGGATACATGAGAACAAGAGTTGTCTTTCATCTTCAAAGTAAAACCTCTGGGACAAGTAAGGACAGTGGCATTGGCTCAGCACGCCCACTACATATCCGCCTACCGAGATCCATTTAGCTGTCATGTTGCCTGGTGTGTTATGAGTCCTTGGCGTTGTCACTGGACTTTTGAGATGATTGAAAGTGGGCAGTTCATGCAATAGACATCCAAACAAGCGGAAATCAAAACCACTTGATCTCGGCTACCAGTTGAGACGTTTTGGGTTGAAGTTGTGTGTAAGTGATTCCTATATACGAAGTCTCATTGCTCAGATGCAAGTGTGAACTAAAAAGGCTGGTGGGATTTATGAAGACCTTATCGGCAGAGCGCTCTGCTGCTTTGAGCAGGCATTGGTATTCCTACCCACACTTTGGGAAATAAATCAGAGTGCACTCTCACTCAGATGCCTGTCGAGAAACAAGTTCAGCTCTAATTTGCCTCTGAGATTTGGCCTCTTTTTCTCCAGAGTCAGGTTAAGTCCTTTATGTCAAAATCTCTCAGACACCTATGCAAAGGGCTGCTTGTGCTTCACATCCCCACACACTGCACACAACTGATGTATTCTGTTTTTCTTTTTGAAAGATAACATATTTTTGGAGCATAAGGGAGTTGAGGATCTTTACCACAACCCCACTTCCTCTTGCAGACTTCTTGAACTTTGATTGTAATTCAGGGGAGATATCAAGGGTTTTCCTATTGATGCATGCATGGCATACAGAGGAAACTTCTCTCAGACCGTAACAAAGATGCAGATTTGGAGTAGAATGAAAGAGACAGGGAAAAGATTTATGCTGAAAGAGAAAAATGCATTTTCAGCATGTTTAGGCGCAATGCTTGTGAACTCCAGATAATTCAAAATGCCTGGCATAAAAAGAAATGCCCTTGATCTTGTTTGTAGACATGAAGGATGAGTTGATGGCTTAGTTCTGCTTGATTATGTTCGATATTCAGGACAAACTATGAATATTTGATTGTTTACATCTTAAAATATGAATTAAAATTTCTCTCAAGGAATTTGAAATTAAAATGGTGACACCAAATGTTAAGAATATTATGAAGCTGCATTATGGCTACCATTTCACTTGCAGCAAAACATCTGCTATTAAACTAAATGGCACGAGTGTCAATGTGACTTGAATTTGAAATGGTTATTTTCTCTAATTTGCAAGTTCTTAGAGGATAATTGGGGCCTCTTTGTGATATTGCTAACCACAAAACACATAATCATCCTTTTAAGTCTGTTGCAGTTGAAGGACACAGCACCGATTTTCTGCCTTCTAGCTCCATAAGCAGTCCTTGATGTTTATAATACACACCTGTTGGTTGACGCATGAATAATGATAAATGCTAAAAGCAATGGCTTGTAAAGCTAAAGACGCAGATGGATTTAGTGCTGCTTTCAATGACATGATCAGTGGTTTGAGATTCACAATCAGCTGAAAGCCAATTGTAGCGTGTCAAATCGTTTGCATTGCTCTAGTCCCTTTCGCGACAGCAAATTAGTTTCTCATGTTCAAATGCTTTGCAAAATCAGGCACTTAGTGTAAATCTGTGTCTCTTTAATTTGAGCTGGGACAGGCCTCGCGTTTTGTAGAATTTCTGAGCCTCAGCGTCAGAACCTGTGGGACTCCATCAAAACAACCTCCGCTTCAAAGCTAGGATCTTTGAATCAAAACTGTGGAAAACATGTCTGAGTCTGTAGAGTCCTGTTCCAGACAGCATTGAAACCTTGTGTCTCTTTTTTATGCGATCTGTCATATTTCTGACACGACTGATGTGGTTTCTCAGTATATGAATGTATGTAGAGTGCTGTATTCTCAATGTGATCATAATTGCTTGTGTGACCAATACTTTTACAGCAGTTTGGCATAAAGTTTTTTTTAATATGATGAAAGTGTGTAATGTGATATTGATGACATCAATTAACTTTTTGTTTCAGCACTGAGGTTATATAGTTATCTCATGTAAGGGTTTAAAAAGCGAACTTCATACATTTTTAACATCTTGGCGAATTTCAAAGGTTGTTTACTCCTGGAAAACTCTATGTTAGGACATGATATGTTTTCTATATTCCCTGAGTTGCAAGACGTGAATGTAATAAGAGTAATTTTGGCTGCATTTCAGACTGAATTGCACCCCAATTTACTCCTATTGCAGTATAAAAAAAATCCAGCATGTTTAAAAGCAGAAGAAACGGCTCATTAGTGAACCTTCTCTCCATCCATCAAATTCAATTTAACTGGAACTATCTAGAGTCATTGGTACACTTTTCATTTAACCCTCATTTTCTGTTTGGGTCTGAAAGGCTCCTATTTTTAGCTCAAATTGCTTATCATTTAAGTGCCAGGTTGATATGTGTTGACTTTTGCTAATCTTATGAGAACTGATCATAAAGAAACCTTTCAGCTTGATAACCTGCTTCAAATGGACCAATCTTATTTAGTGCATATCTGAAAGTCTTTGTCTTAACGTTATTTATGACCTAAATTAAAGGTTTAATCATTTATTTCTGCTTGATTAGTCATAGGAAGACTGGAGGGATTGAAGACCGAAAAAGAGGTTAATTTCATTTCAATTTATTATTTTTACATGTAGCCTACATGTTTAGGAATTCTGTGACTTTAGACATATAGTAATACGGTTAGAATTTAGAGTTGCAAATTCACATACTGCTCTTAATATTTCTCATATACATCTCATATAGTATATTGTATGCTATTGTATAATGCATGTGATATAATTTGAGGTTTTCACACAAAAAATTTAGTATAAATAAATTAAAAATTAGATTGTATTGACAGCTGGCAAATGAGAGGTCTGCAACAAGATCATGTAAACACAATAAAAACTGTTTGTTGTGTTTTGAACTGGTTTGATAAGAGTGCTGCAGGGGTGACATTTTATGTAAGCCAAAACCTAGAAATGAGTTAGCATTTCAGCACTTCCAATTCCATCGTCCTGAAGGGATTTTTCAATGGGTTTATGCGTAAATGCCAGAAATAAGGTCTGTGGTTGCACAAGCTCAAGGTATTTCCACATTCTATTCTATGACTTAAAATACACGTTTTTAAGGCACACGGCATACACTCTAAAAATGGCTGGGTTAAAAATAACGCAATTGGCAACCCAGCGCTGGGTAAATATTGGACAGAACACATGCTGAGTTAAAGTAACCCAGCATGCTGGTTTACACATTTTAACCCAGCAGGCTGGGTTGTTGAGAAAACCCAAGATATAGTCATTTTTACCATTTATGTGTTTGCATTTATGTGTTGCTGGGCTATTCTCATTATTTTGCCTATGCTTAAGACAATCATGGATTAATAAATAATGACGAATACAGGTTATTTAGACTGTTAAAAATAATTTTTAATGCCAACTGACATTCACAAATGTGTTAATTTGTACCAATGACAAACGACATGCAATTTTTTTTTCCAGCAAATGCAAAAATCACAGAAATACAGTTACAATAAATAAGAACATTTGTTCTGAATGACATGTGTCCGTTTAACTGTATAACTATTACATTTTGACATGTTTAACTATTTAAATACATAGTGAAATTACATTGACAATTAAAATTTAAAAAGACAGAGCATGCAAAATCATTTAAAGATGTCCTAAAATTTATATCAAGTAAATAAAGACTCACTGTATAACTATTACATTTTGACATGTTTAACTATTTAAATACACAGTGAAATTACATTGACAATTAAAATTTAAAAAGACAGAGCATGCAAAATCATTTAAAGATGTCCTAAAATTTATATCAAGTAAATAAAGACTCGCACTGCTAGGTAGATGCGCACTGCTTAGGGTAGTTAAAGGTATAGTTCACCCAAAAATGAAAATTCTGTCATTAATTACTCACCCTCATGTCGTAACTAGGGTGGTGACGGTGAGGAAATTTTCCCACCGGTTAATCGACGTGTGACAACAATAACGGTATCGCCGCGGGGGTGGGGGCGTTCCCTCTTTTCCTCGCTTTCCTTCACTTAAGAAATAGCTTGTAAAAGCGGCATGCACATTTTACTTTCAAATAGCGGCAGTTCGGAGTAAAGCAATTGTTAGTTTTTAGTTCGTTTGAATTTTCCCTCTTTTCCTCGCTTTCCTTCACTTTTAAATAGCTTAAAAGCGCCGTGCACATTTTACTTTCACTTTCGAATTAGCGGCAGTTCGGTGTCAATTGCTTGAATGCAACAACAAAATACAATGTCAAACTCACTTTAGCGTATATATAAAACATAGTTTTATACAACTTTTATTAACAAAACTAATAAAAATACACCATGCTATAGGGCAGGCTATGTCTAATATAAAATAACAAATAACTTACATAAAGTTTAAATAGGTATACAAAACTGGAAATAAGTAAACATGTATAATATATAACCAAATAAATAAGAAATGTAGAACGTTTATTAGCAAAACGAGTAAGAAAGCTTGGAGGCACGGGATACACCTTGATGTCAAATAAAATAAATAAATGACACAAAGTTTAAATAAAGTAAAAATCGGCAAACAATGTGGAACCAATTAAATAAGAAGCAAATGTTTAAAAAAACTTCCAAAATCAGATAAACGGCAAAAGTCAACATGCTTTTCAAAATCCAAAATATTGCCAAACAGGCGCTTTTGCATTTTGTTTCGAAACTAAATCATCCGCGATCGTCTTGTCTGTCTCACCTCACCTCACTCTTCTTGTCAGTCAGCTCCGACTCACTCTCCTCACTGGAGAAATGAAATCTGATCTGTGATGCATTGATTGAGCATCCGCGTTCAGTTTTTAATTGTAGTGTCTGTTCTTTTACTGAACTAAATGATTTTTATTACTATAAAAAATCTAAACGACAGTGGGGGTCGGTGGGCAAGTGACGTAACCGGTGTTGCGGCTTAACACCGGTATCACCGTCAGCACCGTCTATCGCGGCAAGCCTATTACAAACCCATAAACTTTGTTCATCTTCGGAACAAGATATTTTAGATGAAATCCGAGACCTTTCAGACCAGGGTGAGTAATTAAAGACAGAATTTTAATTTTTGGGTGAACTATCGTCAAACACTTAGAAAGCTTTGAAGAGAAGATCTACAGCTGAGAGCAGTGTGCTCTGCTATAGAGCCTGTCTATGGAAGGATATTCCAGAATTGCAAATAATATTTTCAATTGTGTTTTCCACATGTGACAAATTGTGACATAATCCATGCTATCGTCAAACACTTTTAGAAAGCTTTGAAGCGAAGATCTACAGCTGAGAGCAGTGTGCTCTGCTATAGAGCCTGTCTATGGAAGGATATTCCAGAATTGCAAATAATATTTTCAATTGTGTTTTCCACATGTGACAAATTGTGACATAATCCAAACACAATTGCAAATCTTGCATTACTGTTTGCATTTTCACAAATGCACAGTGACTGCCAAATTTCAAATGGAAAAGCAAAGTTCATTTGCAAATGTATTTTCCATGTATTATGAGTAATGAGCCTGTCATATTTTAAAAATTCAGCGTCAAAGCAACTTTACAGTATTAAATAGGAAAATAGTGTGTAATAATGCAAAAGGACAACAGTAAACACTCAGTTTTCAGTTAAAGTCAGTTCATCATTGATTCAGTGATGTCATCGTCCAGCTCAGTTCAGTTCAAATAGTATCTGTGCTTTCAAGCTGACGATATCGCTGGATATTAAGTGTCCCCAAATAATCAAGCCGGCAAGGAACCAAAACTCCATTGGTGACAGAAATGGTGAAAAAAAACTTTGGGAGAACCCAGGCTCAGTCGGGGGGCCAGTTCTCCTCTGGCCAGATGAAACCAGCAGTTCAATTCCAGGCTGCAGCAAAGTCAGATTGTGCAGAGGACTCATCTGGCTCCCATGGTCTTGTGCCGATGACCGTCGAGGTCACGTGGTCTTCACTGGGGATCAGTCTTTGGGGCTCATCTAGTTGTCCTGGTCTCCGCTGACATTCAGAGCTGTAGAGGTCATCTCTAGGTGCTGATCCACCATCTGGGCTGGATACGTACTGGATCTGGGTGACTGCAGTGACCATCTGATCTGGATACAGACTGGATCCGGGTGGCTATGGTGACCTCGGAATAAGAACGAAACAGACTAATGTTAGCGTAGATGCATCATAAGAACAAGTATATCGAGTGTTATTAATTACCACGTCTTTTTCACTGTGTCGCACATGTAACCTACCAAAACTCAAATGGAATCGCAATTACTTTAGCATTTGAATTTCCATTGCCTCACATGGAAACCTGTCAATCTGTGTCAGGGGTGGGACCATACTATGGGGCGTGTTTGTATTGGGAGGTGATTACTCACAAACGATTGTGCCAAATGCTTTGAACAATGGAGGTAAAGCAGCTGCCACAAAACCTGCCACAACTAAAGGCAGCTGCCACTCCGAGAGATGCGTGTGAAAGAACAGACAATGCAACTAGTCTCCCTATATTCTTGGCACCTTACACAATAAATAATTCCATCGTTTTTACCCCAAATGCAACGACTATCCCCTACTAACAGTGGGAGCCCCAATGGTACCCACTATTGGTCAATATTCACCATTAACCAAATGCTTTTCACCTGCCTCAAGAAGAGAGGAATAAAATATAGGGTAAGATGCAAAAAGGCAAATAAGAGTTGCAATGTTGTTTTGCCGACGTGCATCAATCAGAGTGCAAACAGTGAGAGATTTGGGGTAAAAAACGACAAAATTATTTATGAATTATTTTATTTGGCACAATCATCTGTGAGTGATGTCAACTCCCAATACAAACACGCCCCATAGTATAGTCCCACCCCTGACACGGATTGACAGGTTTCCATGTAAGGCATCGGAAATTCAAATGCTATAGGAATTGTGGTTACATTTGAGTTTTGGCATATTACATGAACGACGCAGAGAGAGTGAAAAAGCAGAAGTGGTAATTAATATTGCTATTTAAATACGTCAGGTTCATTACTTGTAAGACATGGGAAATACAGTTGCAGTTGCTTCTCCAATTGAAATGTGGAAGTCACTGAATTCACGAAAGCGAAAATGCAAACCGCAATGCAAGATTTTCAGTTGCGTTTGGACCATGACAATTTATACGTCCACATGTGGAAAAATGCAATTGAAAATACAATTTGCAATTCCTTTTGAAAATTGTCCAGAATATTTTTACCTGTCCATTGATTATGATCAATGCCTGGGAGATCTGCTGGCAATTTCAAATCGCCATGACAAATGGATGGGGTTTTGTGGACTCTGCCCGGTTAAGGAATTCCACCATGTTTGTTCCAACCTATAAAATAAATTAAATAGCAATGATTCAGTTCAATTAACTGTGTGGTTAAATTCACCTATCTCTACAGAAGCATACTGATTGGCTGAAAGGTGTGTTTTCAAACTGTGTAATCAATAGGATGTTCCAGTCAGTATAATCACAGTTTTATATTAATATGCTGGCTATATCGAAACACGCATGCACAGTCACTGGCACACAGATATGGGAGATCACACTGCATACGCACACACAGAAATTTATATGACAAATCAGACAGGTACTGGGTTACTCCACAGCTTTAAAATAGTCCATATATAAACACTTTTATATAGGTGTACCAAAGTGATTCAGGACAAGTCAAAAACACGATTTGGAAAATGGGTATATGATGTATTTACTCATTATATAAATTCTGTACATTCTGAACACAAAGTTAAGTGCAGCTTTAACTATAGCACGAAACAAATTTATATCTGTGTTTATATCACAGACAATCAGTTATGTATGTAAAATCTGTAAAATGTATAATAAACATGAACTTGGGGAAAACATAAAACACTAAGCAAAACACAAAATTGCTTTTTTTCTTAATAAAAAAGCGTTTTATTGAACAAATTGCTTGCTCTTTAAAAAATTTCATTATAATACAAATTTTGATAGGGATAAAAATATTTTCCTTACAATTAACAACAGTGCCCAAACTTAAATTTAATTACTATTTATTTTTAAATACAATAATCAAAACTCAACTTTAAAAAAATTGTATGCAAACATGTAAATTGCACATAATGCAGTTTTTAAATGAACTTATAAATTATACAATTTCTAATTGTTGTTGAAATATATTCATTTACACATAACTTTTCATAACAGATTTATTTAAACTATTAAGACAGGTAAAGTAAAATACAATGAGTCTAATATTTCGCGTAATGCTCTTCGCTAGACTTCATTTCTCTAGCGAACTAAAGAGCTGTGGACACTGATGACTTGCGTGAGGTAAATGAAACGCTACGTGACATTTTGTTTACAAGCTGTTTTATTGACGTCTTTACGCGGTTGAAAGACTGATTGAGGGATTAAATTAGGCATGAGTTGTTCATTCATGTTTATTTCGCGTTAGTGAACTGAGGCGTTTATACAGCGACGTCACGCCACATCAAGGAGTGTCAAAACCCCACTTATTGTTTGAATTACCTAAAAAGTTGACAGAATTTGAAAGATGAGAATTTGTTTCTTATCAAAAGTACCAAATATAAAACTTGAAGTTTCTAATGAAGTTAATGCATTGGTTAAAACAATGCTGTTCGGTACTCATGCGTACCAAACCGAAAAGACCTGTACAAAAATTTTCGGTACGACTACGTGTGACATTACACAACTAGAACATACACAAATTATTATACACAAAATGATTAGTGAATGAGGCTTTTTGAGACAGTGTTTGTCTGCTTCATCTGTATGTTTTGTGGTCTCCCTCTCTGTTTAACAGGTTGATTAAAAAGTAAAATAAGGGGAACTGTTTTATTTTTCTTTGAAGATGTGTATTGTGAATGCAGCAGATTTCCTTCAGGCAATCTGACCCGTCACACTGTGTTAGCTCACTGAGCAACCATTCAGTCAGCTTCAGATGTCCCTGTTTAGTTTTCACCCATATCCTTTGTGTCTTTGTCCCCTCGGGTGTCCTACTTCTCAATGCTTTAAAAGGTTTTAGTAAGAATCAGGGACCTGCATGCTGTGTGAGTACTCCTCTTTTTTCCCCCCAGCTTCTGCTGGCTGTGAGGGTCGGAATCCCCTCGGCTGTATCACTTCACGGCCGGGTGGTTTTGTTCTGTGCCATGGTTGACCGATCGACTCATCGCATTGCATTGCACAGCCACGAAATGGGTCATTCTGTCAGCGACGCCCCTTCCGATCAGTGATCGTATTTACATGTGCCCGTGATGCAATGTCGAAGTGCTCCTAATCACAGAATGGCAGAGCCAGCACTTTGGTCAGGAATGATTAGATGTGCTGTGCTGAAGACCTGAAGGTCATACAGTCTCTGAGAGGAGCTGTTGTACCCTGCGGTGGGATTCCCAGCCCATCTAAAGTTAGTGGTATGTCCAAGATGTCAGTTCGGATTGGACTAAAAATCTGTCCGCTCAGCAAACATGTCCCCTGCAAAGTGTAACTGTATTACACCTAAAGTGTGAACAGACTGTATGACACAATGTCATATAGAGGAGACCGGGGCTAATTGTCACACTTTTCACTTCAGTAAATTTCTGTTTCTTGTTGTCACACATCTCATGTACTGTATTACATCACCACAGTATTTTTTTTTTCGAACATAAAATATTACAGTTTACGTTGTACAACTAGGGCTGCAAATTGTTTTATGAGGATTTAATTTACTAGCATAAACAGAGGCATTAATTATAGACTTAATTATACATCTGGTTAATTTATAATATATTAGAATTTATCACTAAATTAACATATTAAATTGACAGGCCTATATTATAATGCATAACTGTATGTAATTTACATTTTTAATCTACACAAAATGCAAATCTTTAGGAAATACTATGTTCACACAATATGTAGAAAGACTTTACTGTAAATTGTAGAAAACCTTTTGTGACAACTAGCCCCTTTGAACCCTATAACAGTGATTTCTATGTAGCTCATTGCCACATTGAATCATTTATTGCAGATGCTTTTATATGCATCTAATTGCTTCACAATTGAGTTGTGGGCAATAGACTGTAGTAAGAGAACAAACCTCTGCAAAAAAAGCATTTTCACTAAATTGCTTTAGGTTGGTCTCAGGTATCGTTGACAGTTGAGTAAATTTCCCCGGAGAAAATCTGAAGAGAAATTACACTTTTAGGCAGACCACACCAGCTCTGATTTTGAAACACTCTGCTGAACTGACTCTGGTTTCTGGGAGTGTGTGTCTAAAAACATTAATCTTTCAGCCTGACTGTAATCTCCTCAAAATGTTAGGCACATTACAGTTTAATAAAGTTTGACACCAAAGTTTGACTCATGGTAGGGTTGGACGCTTTTGATGTGTAGTTGAATCACAAACCAAGTTATGGATAGCTTAAAAAATAAGTGAATGTTCCCAGCTTACTCAGGCCAGAGTGCTGATAGTGGTTGATGTGTCATAAAAAATGTCATAAAAGCTCACAAAGTGTGTGAAGTACTTCTTGTTGAATTCATTAAACAGGTGATCGATATTAAATATGTTTTTTCTCTGTTCTCTGTTCTTACAGGAATGATTTACACCACTGGCAGCCTGGACTGCGAGACTCAGGATTCATACTGGCTAACAGTGTATGCAACGGACCGTGGCGTGGTGCCGCTTTCTGCCTCTATTGAGGTGTTTATCCAGGTGGAGGATGTGAATGATAATGCACCTTTGACCCTTGAACCCGTCTACCACCCGTACGTCATGGAGAACTCTCCCAAAGACGTGTCTGTGGTCCGTATCAAAGCCCAGGACCTGGACGTTACCGCCTCAGATAGCCGTCTCATGTATCGTATCACAGCTGGGAATCCTCAGAACTTCTTTTCCATTGATTCCAACACAGGTAATAAAAAACTGAGTTTTTTTTTTTTGCTCTATGAAGAAACAGAAGACCTCATAAAATATTTTATTTTTCAATATATTACCAATTAAAATTTTTTTTTTCCAATTAATTACAGCTAAATTAGGCAAATCACATTTAGTTGTATATCAATATTTGCTGGAAATTATAAGGATTTAAATTATGAAGGTAATTCAAAGATGAAAGACAAAACTCTTAATTATAGACTTTTGTTAATTAAGTGTCTGATTAATTTATTACATTTAGTTCTTTGAATGCACCTTTGACCCTTGAACCCGTCTACCACCCGTACGTCATGGAGAACTCTCCCAAAGACGTGTCTGTGGTCCGTATCAAAGCCCAGGACCTGGACGTTACCGCCTCAGATAGCCGTCTCATGTATCGTATCACAGCTGGGAATCCTCAGAACTTCTTTTCCATTGATTCCAACACAGGTAATAAAAAACTGAGTTTTTTTTTTTTGCTCTATGAAGAAACAGAAGACCTCATAAAATCTTTTATTTTTCAATATATTACCAATTAAAATTTTTTTTTTCCAATTAATTACAGCTAAATTAGGCAAATCACATTTAGTTGTATATATCAATATTTGCTGGAAATTATAAGGATTTAAATTATGAAGGTAATTCAAAGATGAAAGACAAAACTCTTAATTATAGACTTTTGTTAATTAAGTGTCTGATTAATTTATTACATTTAGTTCTTTGATGCACTTTCCAAATGAACACAATACATTTATTTATAAGTGATCTGTATAAATGCATGTAAATGTATGCAGTTTACATTTTATGCAACTTACATTTTTTAATATACAAATAAAAAAACTTAATGCTGAAGTCTAACTAAAGATATACTAAAATACATTTGATTGTGTTAAAGTGGAACTATTGCAAGTAAAATATCTTGCATTTAAAGACTGATATTATGCAAATGTCATACAGTCCTCATCAATAGTGACATTAAAACACATTTTAGGCTTAATATTAAGAAATTTGCATTGTGCACAATTAGTACTCCAAATAAAGTTTAATTATAGTTTTTATATCAATCAATCAATCAATCAATCATTTTTTATTTCGGTCCTCACAGACAACTTTTCACAAAATAAATAAATAAATAAACAAATTTGTCATTTACATTTTTAATATAAAAATAAGAATTTAGTATTATATGTGAGATTATATGGCACAAATTTGTCATTTACATTTTCAACCTACAGAAAATAAGCAGATCTACAGGAAATAAATAATAAATAATTGATTTCCCTCTGAATATGAGCAAATAATCTTTGATCATATTTTCGTTTGAAATTTCAGTGCACTGTCCCCCAGTCCAATCTCCCATATATCGCATTTGCGAACGCTTTCACAAGTACTACTAAACAAACTGAGCAGCACAGGCTGTAATCTGCTCAGTGTCAGGACATTCTAGTGTGAAGTGTTAACACACATGCAGAGCTCTGATCCCATGGCATGCTGGGTGCATGCTGCACTGCTGATTACACCGAGGTGCTGCTTTCCTTGTCATTTGAGAAGTGAGTCATGGGAGCTTATGTATGCAGCTGTAGTCAGTGAATTAATTAAACAAGGTTTGGTTGCCAGCAGGAAAGCTTTTCATTCTACTATTGGCAAATCCCTCCAAGGCAGCATGTGACACCACATATTTACATTGGAATACAGAGGTTTAAGCTCAATAAATCTTACTCGATATATATAATGAGATGTGAGCGAGTGTGTGCATGCATTGATATGTAGTGAGCAGAGAGGTAACACTGTATTTCACTCTATATGAAAGCCTTTGTGTGTTCAAGGATGAAATATATGAAATATATGAAAAACAATATGTGGAAGGAAATGAAATTATGGCCGAATCAACCCAAAAGTATCAAACCTTGTACGTTTTATTGTTTGACCGTGGACTGCAGTCATAGATTCTACTTTAGCTTCAGCCACTGCTGGGAAAAAGCCGTTGTAATTGCTCCCCACTTATCTAGCTCTCTTTTTGTGATTGTCTGTTGAACTCAGCCTAAGTGTTCAGATAAATTGCATTGTGAGCTCTTTTATAAAAACAAATGTGCTGTGACTAAGCCAGCAACCAATTACTGCACCCTGAAAATAGAGAGTGCATGTTTGATTATTAGTTTAGAGCGCTTGCCTCTAATAGAGTTATATCTTGTACGAATTCTTTTCGTTACAAATGTCCTCCTGACAATATCTTTATACTTGAGTGAATGGCTTATGAGGGAAAATCCTTTCCTTGTTGTGCTTCAGTCCCTCATCGGCTCTGTGAGTTCATAGCTTCTCTAATTTCTCTAATTGAGTCTCTCTGGATGACACACATTAGGGAATACTGTGGATTCCAGCAGTGCGATTCAACCTGTGCCATCAGGAGTTCTTTTGTTGCCATGGTTATATTTCACAGAGAATCACTGGCTCAGAAAGCACGTACAATACATTTATGTTAGGTAAATAATGGGAACTTGTGCTAAAATGGTCGCAGTGTTCTACAAAATGATGAACTTTGCAGTATGTTTGTACATGTGTATATACTTTTTAAAAACAGATTCGCAGAAAATCTCACATATCACTTTGTTCTGTGGAACACAGAAGGAGAAATGTACTCTTCAAAAAGGATGCAAAAACACCACAAAAGTGTCATCCATAGTCATCCATATTACTGATGTGCACACTCTGGATGAGAAACTGACTCAAATATAAGTTATACATTCTTCAAACTTTTCTTTTCGTGATCGACGGAAGAGGCAAAGTCATATGGGCTTTGAACGAGATGAGGATGGGTAAATATATTTTTGTTCTCTATTTCTTTTTGAGATTCTCAAGCCCTCTTCTCTACAGCTTGTCAGTAAATCCACAGCAGGATTTGTTGTCTAACCCATAGACCTGCTTAAAATTATTTACCTTCAGACTCCAGCATCCAGATGTCTTGTGCCTTAAGGAAGCATTCATATTCAGGAATGTCTTCCTGTTCTCAATCTTTGCTGTTCTGTCTGTATTGAAGTGTTTTTAAAGCCACTAGGGGTTTGAAAAATAACCCTATGCATTCACCACATACCATCTGCGGGCTTACGCCAAAGGCACTTGTGTCGTGAGCTGCTGTTTTTTCTGCAATAAACAAACAGTGTTGTGCAAATGTATGCACCCTTGCTGACATGTTATTAATCATTGTCGAGTGGAGCGGCTTTCCATGCTGATTGTTGCAGCTCTTTCATTGCACAGTTGTCAAAGAAGTTTGCAGCTTCAGTTCAGTTTTATCATTTTTACAAAATGTTTTTCAGGACTCATCACCACCACATCAAGGAAACTGGACAGAGAGCAACAAGCAGAGCACTTCTTAGAGGTACTGAATTCTTCTTTACCTGTCAGATCATGCCTTAAAGGGGTAATTTAAACAAGAAAAGAAAACACTGCCATTATGAATGATGCTTTCCATTTGAAGTTCAGTTTGGGATATTCCATCTTGATATCACCATTTTAATATATTCCAAAATGTAATTTACTCCTGTGATGGCAAAGCTGATTAGTAGTGTTCAGTGTCACATCATGTTTCAGAAATCATTCTAATATGCTGGTTTGGTGCTTAAGAATCATTTCTTATTATTATCAATGATGAAAACAGTTGAGCTGATTAATATACTATATTTGCATTTTGCTTTCAAGCTTAAAAAAAGACGAAAGACTTAAAGCTTTTATCAAAAGACAACCTACATTACATGTTAAGACAGAAGACGTTAAACAGTCGTATTTGAATGTGAACATGAAATTGAATTGAGGGAACGATTTACAGTGAAAAATTACTTAAATTATTTCCTGAGTAATATTGTAAGACTTCAGAAGACTTGGAATATATAGAGTTGCATACATACTAGGGGTGGGTGATATGACCAAAATCTTATATCACAATATGAGTAATTTCATTTCACGGTACTGATATACAGTATATCACAATATAGTTATTTTTGCTTTAAATAATGTTTTTATGACATACATTTTTTTGATCCCATTGAAATGTATGAAGGTGTCATGTCAGTCTTATGCACACCCCTTCAAGTAAAGTGTTACCATATATATAAATAAATAAGAAATGCTACATACGTTGTATAAAATAATCAAATGTTTAAAAACACTGCATATTCTTCACTGTGTAAATTGTAAAAAGTGATTTAGTCAAGAGCAGTGAGAGATTTTCTCTCTTTTGTTGTTTGATTAACATGACAGACAGCAGGAATATTAGACTGCTGTTACTTTAAGAGCTGCCCGGATCCAATATACTGTTACACATGTGTTTTCTTTCTCATGTTTGCTTTCACTTAAGACCTAAATTACTGTTTTATAAGGATACTTGCAAAGACGAAATTTGACACATATAAGTGTGTGTATTTAACCTATAAAGAGGCAAAAATAACTCCGGTTCAATACTCCCATGCTCTATGTGCACCGTCTTCATGTGCGAGCACTTCTCTGACAGTGCTCAGAAACGGTATCTCAGACAGCGCACACATATAGAGAAATAAGTTATCTTTTGCTGCTAATTGTGTTTCAACGGCTCAGTTGTTTTTAAACCAGAATGCTTAAAAATGACCACATAATACAGCAACGTCACATGAGTGTGAAACTGAGATAAAGACCATAGTCTAAAATCGGTTGACACATTTCTGTCTACCGGTATATCGCCCAACCCTGGTATACTGTATTTTATGGTGTATTTATGGTTTGTACTGTTTGGCGCTTGACAGCCATGAACTTTCATTGTATGGAAAAGAGGAGCATGTCCATTCTTTATAATTCCTCTTTTATATTAAATTGAAAAAAAAAAAGATAAAATAAGAATAAGAAAAAAATAAGAACATACAGGTTTGTAATGACATGAATGTAAGTAAATAGTAACAGTTTTTATTTTTGGGTGAACTATCCCTTTAAGAGCAAATGCATTGATTCAGCGATTCTCAAGGGCAGTTTTATTAGTTCATAAAATAAAGTCATGTAATAGTCATAAGTGTCAAAATTATGATGTAACTCCTGTACAAAGCAGGCTAATATGATTACCCATCAACAGCCTCAAGAATTTTATTGATTATCATCATACAGGATACACACTGACTTATTTATTGATCTGTTTTAGGAACACATTTGTCTGTCCAACAAAATAGCGAGATGCTACCTACTGAATTCATTTGAATAAAAGGAGAATCAGTTGTAGTATCGAGTGAGGAATGGATTTGCACATGTAAAGGCAACAGTGTTTCCATGTGCTTTTTTATTTCTAATGTCTTATAATGAGGTGCAGTACAGCAAATGACTTGTCTACATTTGCATTATGAGTGACAGAGAGGATAAAGCCAGTGCTTACTGACCAAGGACTCTTATTTAACACCAAAACACGTGCAGATGTGCACATTTTCATACAGTCTGGCGAGCAGCTCTTAAATTACTGATCAGTCAATGAGGGCAGAACAGTAGCATTGATCAATGGGATGGGTGTGGCTCCCCGTGATCCCTGCTCTACATGGACCGAATAGAATGAGGGCCATTGATTTTCGTGTTCACTAAATGATGATTCACTCTGCAGCAGGCTTCAAGTTTCAAAGTTCATATCTTACATCTAGTGCCTCAAGGTGCCTGCTTTGACAGCCACCCTGGCATCAGCATCTGCAGCGTGTGGCGCTGACAGTGGATAGTGGCCATTAAAGATTTAGTTCATAGAGGCTTTCATGAGCCGCTGCTTCTGACTTTTGCAGTGGTGTAATAAGCCCCAGGCCCCAATTTTGTGGCCACTGTCTGATCAAGTTCTGGGAATCTCCAGTGGAGCTCCATGAAGAAGAGTGAGATCAGTTGGCTCATTGTGTTGTTTTCAAAAGAGCACGTTGTATTGATGTATTTTTCTATTCATTTATTTTAAATAGAGGTTGAGTAGGGACAGTTTTGTTTATAGGCATTTTAGTCTTTTTATTTATCTGGAGAACAGAGAGAGATGTAGAGTTGCTGTAAAGTTGCTAAGGTGTGTGAATGGTTTTTGGCTCATTGCTGTGGGGTTTCTAGGGTAGTTGCTAAATGGTCACATACTGGCCCAAGTCAAAAGAAGCCATCCTCAAGGACCTACATATGGCTGGAGTCACTCCTCTAATGTAAATCTGAGATTTTTTTGCCTGTTATAATGTCTGCTTGCCAGAAATCTGGTTGATTGCTTAACTTGAGCTTTCATTTATGTCAGTACAAATGGCATTGGATGAGTTACAAGATTTAAAGAACAGAAGTGAAATATACTCTAAAATGTGCAATATGTTATGGCAAAGTATTTTGTTTTGATTTTATAAAAACGAAAAAGGTACTTGTGCAAATTAATAGATGCAAATCAAATACTAGTTCATAAGTTTGGGGTCGGCAAGATTTTTCAAATGTTTTTTGAAGTCTCTCATGCTTACCAAGACTGCATTCATTTTGATTAGCTGTTACTTTAAGACAGTATTGCGAAATATTACTACAACTTAAAATAATGATTTCTATTTTAATATATTTTAAAATGTAATATTTTCCTCTGATGGCAAAGCTGAATTTTCACCATCCATTACTCCAGTCTTCAGTGTCACATGATCTTTCAGAAATCATTCTAATATGCAGACTAGCTACTCAAGGAACATTTATTATTATCAATATTGAAAACAATTGTGCTGCTTCATATTTTTGTAGAATCCATAATGTTTGAATAAAAATTTATAAAAAGAGCAACATATATTTGAAATAGATATCTTTTGTAACATTATAAAGATCTTTACAGTCTTATTAGATCAGTTTAACTAATCTTTGCTGAAGAAAATATTCATTTATTTCAAATAAAAAATCTTACTAACCCTAAACTTTTGAAGGGTAGTATATATAATTTGGGTATATATATATATATATATATATATATAAAAATAAATAAATAAGTATATATATTATACATATAAGTCATGAAGACATGAGTAAAAAGATATGTACATGTGTGCATGAATGAAGGTATGAAGAGACAACAAGGAAACGTTAAAACTCCATTTGCAGCTTCCTTGACCTGTTAATATTGAATATTGGCACTGAAATGAAAATGCACTGCTTACTTTATCTTCAGAAGCTGTGGATTTTTCACCATCATTTTGTTTATATGTGTTTATCTAGGTTACAGTTATGGATGGAGGAGGGATCTTCAGGCAGTCCACTGTCTGGGTGATAGTGCATGTTCAAGATGAGAATGACAATACGCCTGAATTCAAAGAGTCTGTGTACCGCATCAGCCTTCCGGAGCGGGACCGTAACAAACGCGGTGATCCTGTCTACAGAGTCTTCGCTTACGATCGAGATGAAGGGTCCAATGCAGATCTCACATACAGCATCGTGGATGGAAATGACGACGGCAAATTCGTAATCGATGCCAAGACAGCCATGGTGTCTTCCAGGAAGATGGTCACAGCTGGTGGCTATGATATACTCACGGTAAAGTACCATACAGATGGCCAATTCAGTGGATATTAAAGAAAGTTATTCTTTAAAGCAGCATAAAGTTTTCAGCCTTCATATTTACTTCATTTTTTCTCAGATAAAAGCCATTGACACTGGAAGCCTTCAGAAGTGGTCGACCGCCCGTTTGCATGTTGAATGGATTCGGAAGCCCATGCCTTCGCCACTAGCCTTGCGATTTACCGCAGCCATTTACAACTTCACAGTGGCGGAAAACGCCAAAGTGTATGAGTCAGTTGGAGTGGTCTCTGTTTGGCAGACAGAAACTCCTTTATGGTTCGACATCATTGGTGAGCATCAATAATGCAGCAGTCCCAGTCATAAATTAAGTCGGGATGCAATCTTTAATGTCCCTGATATTACTGATGTTACTGTCTGCTTTGGATGAATTGCTTGTGTTGTAGCATTCCTCAGTTACTTCGGATAAAACCGTGCGGATAAATGAGTAAATGTAAATGTAATTTAAAGGAGTGGATATCTGTGGTAAACTATTCTGACAATGATTTACTCCATTTGCTTGTTGCTTACAGTTCTTCTACATATTTATCATTTGCACCTATACTTTCTACTCTACAGAAGATGCATGGATGGTTGAGTTAGTCAACTAAAATATGCAAAGAGGGTCATTTTGATTAAACCCTCTCAGTATTTGGGATTTTGCTGAGCTTTGCAGAGGTTGTCCCACATGTTGGAATTGCTTGTGTAAATTTTAGTTGGAAAACTCCTGAATGAATTAGCATTTTAAAACTAGTTGTTTTTGAATTTGTTTAGTTTAATATGAGCTTTTGACTTCAATGTCAGTTTTCTGTTTTCTTTTTCTCTCTGTTCATCTGTATCTGTTTTTGAGAAGGTGGAAGAACGTCCCGGGAGATGTTTTATATGCCACAGAGCTCCTGTGGTGGAAACTGTTCATCTGACAGTGGTAGGCTAACTGTCAGTATTTTGTAGTTATTTTCCTAAGTGTGAAGGTTTGGCTGGTTTATCTGATACTTTTAGATACTCGCTTTAAAAACTGCATTTGCTGCAGGGCAAACGTGAAGCGCTCAATCCTGTAAACACTTTGAGTGCTGAGATACCTTCCAGACTTTGGGTCTTCTGATCTCATTTAAGTGCAGTGGAAATTGAGTGGAATTGGAACAGATGCATGCAATGCATACTAAAGATGCTCAGAAAGTTTGCCCTTATCCGCCAGAATGGACCTGAATTAATGATTTGAGAATCTGCCGTGAAGAGGCCTGAACTTGACACAGATGTTTGTGGGAGTCGAAGATAAGAGACCTGAGGCTGATGGGAAAGATCCCAACATAAAGCGGTTGATCTTTCGAAAGCCGTGAAACTTTGATGAATCACTGTGAAACATAAAAAATGTATTACTCACAGATGTGCCAAACTGCATGACAGTTCGAGTGTTTACCTTGATCTTTTTCTGCTAAACCTTTACCTCTTCGTTGGATTTATAAATGCATGCAAAGCATTTTCTATGACTTTTCATTTTTCAGTTCATGCTAACTGTGATTTCTTGGTGTAATAGGTAACTATGATGGTCCATTTGATATTCAGAGAGGGATGGGGACCATAGTAATAGCCAGACCTCTCGATGCAGAGACACAGTCGCTATACAACATGACGGTACAGGTAACAGATGGGACAAACACTGCTACTACACAGGTAGGTGTATTTTTAGTTATGCAAACCTCTTGGAAACTTTTCCTAACAGATGTTACAAGTCTGCTAACTTTGCCAGAAACTTTGCAAAACGAATATTCCTGGCAGCTGTGGTTGAAATATCCAAGAGAGAAACGTCTGTAGGATTTTAAGCAGCGTGCCAGCTTTTATCTAATTTTATCAATACAAGTTTGCTGTGTGAAAGAGATATCTATATAATCTTCACTGAAAATGTCTTCAGATATGCCAGGGGCTGCTGAGTATTCCAGTGTCCCAGAAACCTACATTGTATTATCACTCTAGCATGTGCGTTTTCTGTTTTTTATTTAAGCTGTTTTGACATAAGTGCCTATTGCAACAGTGTAGATTACTCTTGCATCTGTTTAACTGAGATTGAATGTCTCTGTGAAAAGCTAAAAATGACTCCGTCTGCTGTATCTACAGATTTACATAAAGGTTTTGGACAGCAATGACAACAGTCCTATTTTCTCTGAGCGTACATATGAAGTCTCGGTGTCTGAGGATACGCCAGCCGACACTGAGGTCTTGCGTGTCCGGGCCAGGGACAAGGATGAACGGTCAAAGTTGAGCTATTCTATCCATGGCAGCGTTGATCCGGTGAGCATGCGGATGTTTAGGATCAATCCTGGTACTGGTGTCATGTACACAGCAGATCGACTGGACTATGAGATCCACTCTCAGCACATCCTTACTATTATGGTGAGAAAGAACATTTGTATTATTAAATGTGTATTATGATTAGTGATTTCAAAGCTGAAACAGACCATTTCACATGTCATGCAGTGGGGTTCAAAGGTCTGAGATCACTAATGAAAATGATTCACTATTTGCATTTTTCTAATTTAATAAGGTAATAAAGATGTCTAAGAATAATTTTAAATATTTTTTAAATAGTACTTAAATTTAATTTATTTGATTAAAATGTATAAATAAAATATATTAATTAAAATAAATACATTTTATTTTCAACACCATAATTTTATAAATAACTAAAAATATATTAAAATGTTCACAAATTATTTTTAAATGTTATTCAAAATCATAAGCTTTATATTTGTTTCCAGATTTCTTTAGATCAATGTGGACTCTTGAACCCCACTGTACTTTTACTGTATATAGTATTTTAGATAATCATACATATAGCCCAGCATACCAGATTTTATATTGTGACAATTTACATTTTTAACTGTTCCTTTCTGTCTGCTGTCTTTTTTTTTTTTTTTACCTTTTTCTTTTTTACTTGTTTCTTCACAAATCTTTTCCATGCAAAATCTTAGGTTTTCTCCTCAGGTCTGTTGCCCTATCTCTCCTCCTCTTTTTTAGGTGAAAGATCAAGAATTTCCCTATTATAGAGACCTGGCACGGATTATTGTGACCTTGGAGGATGCCAATGACCAGCCTCCTTTTTTTACTCGCACTATTTATGACAGTACAGTGTTTGAGTCTTCCCCTCCAGGAATGTCATCTTTGCAGGTGATCGCACTAGACAGAGACTCAGGGAGAAACGGGGAGATAGTTTACTCAATCGTTGCAGGTAAACACCGTGTTCTCACCTCTTGAATTTATTACGCTCCCTGATAACATTTCCATTGTTCAGCTGTTTTGAGTAAAACTGATTGTCTGTTCCACAGAGTGATGCATTAGCTCATTCTTTTAACCTGTCATGAATCTTAAGATTTATCTTTGATATATCCTTTACCTGACATGCCCCTTTTCATCATGAACTGACAGGTACGTGTAATTTTTTCACAGGAAACACTGGTGGCATATTTGGAGTAGATCCATTATCTGGCATAATTTCAGTAGCCAGAGAGCTGGACCTTACAACTGTGGGTTTTTATACCCTTACTGTGAGAGCCACAGATGGAGGTGCTCCGGCATTAAGTAGCACAACTACTGCTAGGATCGCCATCTCTCTGTCTGATTTCTCCAGTCCAAAGTTTGCCCAGCAAGAATACCAGGCTGAGATCACTGAGAATGTGGCTATCGGGACTTTTGTCATATTGGTCTGTGCAATTAGCCGAACCACACTGATTTATGACATTATACAAGGAAATGATGAAAGGAGGTTTAAAATAAACTGTTACACAGGTGTCATCACAACACAAAGGAATTTTGACTTTGAGATGACCTCCTCATATATGCTGGTGATCCAAGCTGTAAACATGGCTGGGATTGCCTCCAGTGTCACTGTCTGCATCCAAGTGGTTGATGAAAATGATAATCCTCCAGTTTTTCAGGAGCTCACATATACAGGGACCATCAGCGAGGCGGCCCCCATCAATAGTGTGGTGATAAGTGAGGATGGAAAGCCGCTGGTAATTGAAGCCACAGATGCTGACAAGAATCACAATGCCCTCCTGGTCTTCCAGATTGTGGAGGACACAGCAAAATTGTTCTTTACTGTAGACTCAGGAACAGGCTCCGTCAGAACTATAGCTAAACTGGACTATGAAACATTCAGTGCTTTTTATTTTTCTGTAAGTGTAAGGGACAGTGGCAGGCCTCAGCTAACAGCAGAGAAGCCAGCCAAGGTCCTAATCAGGGTTGTGAACATCAATGACTCTCCCCCTCAGTTCTCACAAGAAGCTTATGACACTGTTTTGCTTCTTCCAACATATGTTGGGGTTGAGGTTCTGAGAGTAGAAGCCACTGATCCAGACATGACCACTGATCTGATGTATTCCTTGGCTGATAGCAACTTGAAGCACTATGAAATGGATTCATCATCAGGCATACTCACGGTCAAAAACAATAAACTCTCCAAAGACCGTTATCGTTTCAATGTCAAAGTGTCAGACGGGCTGTACTTTTGCACAGCACTCGTGACTGTGTTAGTTAGGGAGGCTATGGACAGTGGCCTCCTCTTCAGTCAAACCACATACTCCTCCTCTGTACTGGAGAACAGTGTGAACATTACCACTGTGAGCATTGTAAATGCTGTAGGAAACCGCTTAAATGAACCACTAAAGTACACGCTTTTGAATGCAGGGACACGCTTTACAATTCGTCCCACATCAGGAGTCATTCAAACCACAGGAGTCCCTTTCGATCGAGAACAACAGGAACTGTATGAGCTGGTGGTTGAGGCGAGTAGAGAATACGACCAGCCGCGAGTTGCTAGAGTAACCGTCAGAGTAGAAGTTGAGGATATTAACGACAATGCCCCTGAGTTTCTAGGCCTTCCATATTATGCGACTGTGCAGGTTGATGCAGAACCTGGCTCATCCATCTTCCAGGTGTCTGCGACAGATTTGGACAAAGGGATAAATGGAGCTGTATATTACGAGCTTAAGGAGGACCATCCACATTTTGAGGTGAATAAGCTCACTGGGGAGCTTACTCTTAAAAGGGCCTTTGATGCAGACTTGTCCAATGTTGAATATCCGCTGGTCGTCCTCGCACGTGATGCAGGCTACCCCTCCCTCTTCACTGTTGTCGAGCTTCCAGTTACAGTTGTGAACAAGGCCATGCCTGTTTTTGACAAGTCATTTTATGGCATATCAGTTAGAGAGGATATTGCAGTGTCAACTCCCATATTATGCATAAATGCCACCAGCCCAGAGGGCCAAAACATTATATATACTATCGTGGAAGGGGATCCTTCCTTCCAATTTGACATTGGCTTTGACAGTGGTGTGATTAGTGTCATATATCCTTTAGACTATGAAACCACACCCTACTACAGGCTAACCATCAGGTCTACAGACACTCTCACTGGAGCCAGATCCGAAGTAGATGTGGACATAGTTGTGGTGGATGTAAATGACAATGCCCCTGCATTTCGTAATGCATCATACAACACCACTTTGCCAGAAAACTCAATGATTGGGTCTAGCGTGATACAGCTTTGGGCAACCGACAAGGATTCAGAAAAAAACAGTGTAATTAACTATCAAATCCTCTCTGATGGATTTAACAGCACAGACTACTTCCACATTGACAGCACTAGTGGACTCGTGTTAACAACCTGTCTTCTGAACTACGAACTTACACCGAGCTTTAGCTTTATCGTTAGAGCAACAGACAACGGTTCCCCATCCCAGAGCAGTGAGGTCACGGTCACCGTCTTAGTGAGTGACGTGAATGACAACCCACCATCCTTCAGCCAGCCACTTTATGAAGCTTTTGTGAGTGAACTGGCTCCCAGAGGGCATATTGTGACATGTGTCCAAGCTTCTGATTCAGACAGCTCAGATGCCGAGAGTTTGAGGTACAGCATACTCTCTGGAGATGAGAAAATGAACTTCATAATAGACTCTCAGACAGGTGTTATTTACTTGTCCAGTCGGCGCAGACAGGGGATACGGCCAGCATACAACCTCAACGTGTCTGTATCAGATGGGGTCTTCACCAACACTGCACAGGTGAACATTCAAGTCATGGGGGCCAACCTTTACAGCCCTGTCTTTAGTCAAAGGTTCTACTTGGCGGAGGTCCGTGAGAATGCCCCAGCAGGTACCAAAGTCATTCAGGTGCGTGCCACAGATGAGGACTCAGGGATTTTTGGTCAGATCATGTATTCCTTTATCAATGACCTTGGAAAGACTCAGTTTTACATTGGAGCCGATGGCCTGATAACTACAGCTCAGAAACTCAACAGAGAGAACCCAATAAACAGAGACATTGTGCTAACTGTTATGGCGCTCGATGGTGGGGGAAGAGCATCCTTCTGCACAGTTAGGGTAATTCTTGCTGACGAAAATGATAATGCGCCACGTTTCAGGGCTATGGAGTATAGAGTTAGCATAAAGGCTAATGTGCCAATGGGATCGCTGGTGACTCAAATCCAGGCTCAGGACCCAGATTCCGGCGATAATGGCAGAGTTAGCTACTCGCTGTACAGTGAGGCAAGGCTTCCTCTTGTGGATGTGTTGGAGATTGAGCCTGACAGTGGCTGGATGGTCACAAAGGGAAGCATGGCGCATTTAAGAGGAACGGTTCTCTCCTTTTTTGTCAAAGCTACTGATGGAGGTGTTCCAGCCAAACATTCCCTTGTGTCTGCATTTATTCATGTCTTACCACCTGATGCAAATGTGCCCTCCTTCACCCAACCCCAGTACTCCTACACGGTCCCAGAGGACACACCTGTTGGGACAGTCTTGGGATCAGTGTACTTAAGTCCTGGCCAGACAGCTTTCTTTTCTGTGGTGAATGGAGAGACTGGGGAGAGTAACCAGGGTGGGACATTTTTAGTTGAGAGAGAAACTGGACTTCTAAGGCTTGTTAACCCCCTTGATTATGAACTCATCAACATTTACCGTTTCAAAGTTGCAGCCACCATGAGACAGTCACTGGTTGAGTCCATGTCTGTAGTGGATGTAGAAGTCAAGGTGCTGGATGTGAATGACAACAAACCGTTATTCGAAACCAGCTCTTATGTGGCCATGGTTATGGAAGGTATGCCTAGGGGTACACGGGTTATCCAGGTACGAGCGCTTGACCCTGATTGGGGATCTAACGGACAGGTTAATTACAGCCTTGGACCAACCCTAAACCAAGAGCAGGACAAAGTTAGTGGATCTAAATCTGCCTCTGGTGCCATGTTTGTTATTGACAGCAAGACTGGTTGGATCACCACTCTCGGTGACTTGGATCATGAGATGTGCCCATCTTACACCTTCAACGTGGTGGCATCTGATCTAGGAGAGGGTGTCTCACTTTCCTCCGCAGCTGTAGTGACCGTTGCAATCGCAGACGTTAATGACAACCCCCCTACCTTCGAGAGAGAGTACTACAGAGGTGCTGTGCGAGAGAGCGACCCTCTGGGAGAAGTGGTTTCGGTGCTGAGCACTCGTGATGGGGACAGCTCTGATCAGAATCGGCTTGTCAGCTTCCATATCACAGGTGCGTATTAAAGTAGGCCACTGGAGAATGATTTATGGCTCACGGAGGCTCTCCGGGAAAGATAATCACATTGAAAGGGTTTAATTTAATGAACTAAGTGTTCAAAAGCTATATGAGTAAAGAGCCATTTGCTTTATGTGTCACATTACTTTGTTTAAAGCCCATCTGGGGATGTGAACAGATTGTTAGAATTAAGCTCAGTTTATTGTTTCCAATAACTTGGGATAAAATATATACTCTCTCCAAAAGTGTCCCTAAGTGTTCTGGTTCACTTAACATGCTCTTAGAGTTATTTTGATGTGTGTAAGCACATTTTAATTTGATGTGTTCAAAACAGTTTATGAAATACAATGGGGCAAAAAAGTATTTAGTCAGCCACCAATTGTGCAAGTTCTCCCACTTAAAAAGATGAGAGAGGCCTGTAATTTTCATCATAGGTATACCTCAACTATGAGAGACAAAATGAGAAAAAAAAATCCAGTCCCCCACTGTATATGCAGTTTGTTTTATTCTACATAAAGAACAATAGCACCTTACAGCATATAAACACTGTAATGTGTTTATGGAAATTATGGTTTGGTCTCTGTGTAGGCCATCACAGAGATTCACAAATCTACCTTGCTCTTTTATCTCAATTCTGTTGCCATCTTTTTGACTCAGGAGGAAACCCCAAGGGGGTATTTGCGCTGGCTCCTGTTCAGGGGGAGTGGAAGGTCTTCGTGAAGCGGCCTTTGGACAGAGAGGAGCAGGATCGATACCTGCTCAATATCACAGCCAGTGACGGCCTGTTTGTAACCCGCATAGGCGTAGAGGTCACTGTCATGGATTCCAATGACAACAGCCCCATCTGCAATCAGGTCTGAGCAATTGATTTAGGCTGGCATTTGTCATCTCATACAGCCCAAGTTAACAACTACCATGTTTAATGCTTGCATACTGATGTACGTAAAGGAAGTTTTCGTATGCAAAAGTATTAAGAATTCAATACACTATTTGAATATATTTATCATTATTTTTTAGGCGCAGTATGAGGCCTCATTTCCAGAAGATGTGTCTGTTAATACTGCCATTCTGACAGTTGGAGCTACAGACTTGGACAGTGGTGTCAATGCAGAAATTCAGTATTCTCTGTTTGGCATTGGTGTTGAAGATTTTTACATGGATGCAAATACTGGTATTTCTGTACAAACTGCTTTTGACATGCTTTTATACTTTTGACACTTTTAATTTTTCAGTTTCTTAAGGCTTGAATGAATACACTACATGATTTTGTACAGACGTTTTCTCTGAAAAAAAACATTAATACATACACTTCCACATAATTACAAATTGCAACCATACAACATGCTTCATATTCAATCCAGCCGCTTATAAAATCTGTAAGTAATACAAACACTTTAAGAGTCAAACTGCAAATATGAATGGCTTCTGGTACAAAGGTAACCTTATATCGTTTGGTCAAACACTTAATACTTCTAAGCCGTCTACCAGAAGGCATTGTCTCAAAGTGCAAGGGGCGCGTGTCATTATTCATCATGATACACTTAGCTTTCCTTATTACTTGCTGCCCATAAAATTCAGTTAGGCTCCGCAGTGGCACACCAGTAATTTCTGAGCAAGTTCTAGCTATATTTTGGAGGCGATTCTTATTCTTAATAGAAATAGATGCAAACCACCATAAGAATGAAAAACTTAAGACACTCTCAATAAAATTATTATAAAATACACTCAAAATAGATTTTTGTATACAAAAATAATTCAGTTTCCTCAGGGCAAACATTCTTTGGTGAACCCTCTTGATAATAGCCTCCATATTCTGCTGAAATTTTAAAGTTGTGTCAAAAATTGTACCAAGGTATTTGTACTCCTCTACTTTATCGACCTCTCTGTCCTGAATAAGCAGTGGTTGCACTATTGGAGCATTTTGTTTGTCTGAAATCAATCACCATCTCTTTGGTTTTTTAATATTTAGTCTTAGCTATGCTTTGTTGCACCATGTAATAAACTTAAAGGGATACTCCACCCCAAAATGAAAATTTTGTCATTAATCACTTACCCCCGTGTCATTCCAAACCCCTAAAAGCTTTGTTTGTCTTCGGAACACAATTTAAGATATTTTGGATGAAAACCGGGAGGCTTGTGACTGTCCGATTGACTGCCAAGTAAATTACACTGTCAAGGTCCAGAAAAGTATGAAAGACATTGTCAGAATAGTCCATCTGCCATCAGTGGTTCAACCGTAACGTTATGAAGCGACGAGAATACTTTTTGTACGCGAAGAAAACAAAATTAATGTCTTTATTCAACAATTTGTCTCCTCTGTGTCCCTCCGCATCACAGTAGCGCCATTTTGGAGAATATGCGCTGAACGCAAGCAGCGTACGCTCTTCTGTGTCAGCCGCGCTGCAGGGATTCGCTGTTTTCATTCAAATCAAAGCGTAAATACATGTAGAAAACGTATCCTTGTGTCACGGCTGACACAGAATAGCGTACGCTGCTTGCGTTCAGCGCATATTCTCCATAATGGCGCTACGGTGATGCAGTATAATTTACTCATTTTGGGGTGGAGTATCTCTTTAAGAATGAGTTTTGAGCTTGATAGCAAGGATAGGAAAACTGTATCGTCTGCATATTTAACAACATAATAGTTATCCTCATAACGCATTTGTATAAATTATAAAAATAATTGATGACAGTACACAGCCCCAATGGATGTACAATGTGTATCTGATAAAACACTATTCATCTTAACCCTTTGCTCCCTACAAGTTAAAAATCCAGGATCCATAAACCAGCCCATGACTAACAATGAACTCATATACTTTCCAAATGTTGGTGGAGAGTGTTTGGAGTTGGCAGTTTTACCTAGATTTCATATGACAGATTATGATTATTTTATGTCTGAGGATATCAAACATGTTTGATATTTTGAGCTGATTAGAAATTGTATGCATGAGTTTGTTGTGTTTGCAGTGATTTGCGATAATTTACTCATTTTGGGGTGGAGTATCTCTTTAAGAATGAGTTTTGAGCTTGATAGCAAGGATAGGAAAACTGTATCGTCTGCATATTTAACAACATAATAGTTATCCTCATAACGCATTTGTATAAATTATAAAAATAATTGATGACAGTACACAGCCCCAATGGATGTACAATGTGTATCTGATAAAACACTATTCATCTTAACCCTTTGCTCCCTACAAGTTAAAAATCCAGGATCCATAAAACCAGCCCATGACTAACAATGAACTCATATACTTTCCAAATGTTGGTGGAGAGTGTTTGGAGTTGGCAGTTTTACCTAGATTTCATATGACAGATTATGATTATTTTATGTCTGAGGATATCAAACATGTTTGATATTTTGAGCTGATTAGAAATTTTATGCATGAGTTTGTTGTGTTTGCAGTGATTTGCAAACCCCCCCCCCCCCCCCCCCTTTTTGGATCATAAAACTTGGAAACATCATCATTGCATGTCTGATGTATTCTTTATTTTAACAAAATTATAGTCCAAAAATATGCCTTCTCCCAGGTCTAAACAGGAAGATTGTGTACTCACTTGTTGACTCTGCTGGTGGTATGTTCTCCACTGACCCATCCGCTGGTGTGGTGATCCTGGAGAAGCCTCTGGACCGAGAGGTGCAAGACTCGTATCAGATCAGAATCAAGGCTACTGACCGAGCAGGGGGCGATGGCTCGCTCTTCACCGAGGTGGACCTCACCATCATGGTTCTGGACGTGAACGACAACCCACCTGTGTTTCAAAAGCAAGATTACGTGGTCACAGTGCCTGAAGATGTTACTGTAGGAACAGAAGTGCTGCGAGTCTTTGCCACAAGTAGTGACATTGGAGTGAATGCAGAAATCTACTATAGATTCTTGTCTGGAAATGAGCTGGGGAAGTTTTCCATTGATGATTCAACAGGCAAGGCAGAGAGATGCACGTGTTCTGCATATATCAAATGTATTTCTGGTCTAACCATGTTTTGTTAGAGTTCTTCTGGGAGCTCACTTGTGATTAATAGACAAAGGCTTATTGACAATAGGTCATTTATCGTTGCTTTTTCACGAATCATTGAAAGAAATGTAAGAAAGTCTATTGACTGTAGACAAGACATAATGATTTGATAAATTGTGTCTCTTAAAACAGCACAATATAAGTGCAGCGAATGGGAAAATTAGTTATGAATGCTCCACGAAACACTAATAACAGTGCTTAACATGCAGAAAACATGTGAATGGTTATTGAGAGCGCTCTTTGTCTCTTAAAAAGATGCGGGCAGTCAGTGGAAACCACATCATTTTTATAGTTATATCACTTCGCATGCATTCAATTTTGACAAAAGCGTAAAGTGCTTTAGCCTAAACCCATACTTTAAAAGAATTAAGCTCTTGAAGGCGCAACTGGGAAGTACTTTCTTTTTGCTATTGTGCGTGAACTAAATATTCAGGGTTTTAATGCGTCCCAAGGAGCCTTTGTATTGCGAGTTATGTAACTGTGTTGTCTGTCATATTCATATAAATTAATTGGCTTTACTCTGACTCATATCTCGCATGATTTCAGGCATCATTTCTGTGGCGGATGATCTTGACTATGAGCTCTGCAAGGATTTTTTCCTGAATGTCGAGGCCTTTGATGATGGAACACCTCCCTTGAGAGCCACGACAATAGTGACCATAGAGCTTCTGGACGTCAATGACCACTCGCCTTCATTCAGCGAGGACATCTACAATGTTCTGATCAGCGAGGACATAGCCATCGGAGAAACGGTCATGAGGGTAAAGTTCTCTCATTAGCCGAGCTACCTCATTGGCATTTAATTAGCCGCAGACATAATTTCAATTTCACAGCTAGCATGTAATTAAGCTTATTGCTCGCAAAAATCCCCTTAATGAACTTACATTAGTTATTCATTTGTACTGTGTACTTGAGCTGTAATATAATTTACTGTAGGAGGGTGTAATTTGCTTCATGATCCGTATAAATTCAGGGAGTTTTAGCCTCTTTGCTCTCAAATACGCCAGAATTTATATGTTTGTTATCTGTGTTTGTTCTGTGCAGCTGTTCGCAGAAGACTTGGACAGTCAGATCAATGGGTGTATCACTTATTCCATTCTGAAAGGGGACCGTGAAAATCAGTTTTGGATCGACCCTGTCACCGGGCTTCTGAAAGTTAACAAGGCACTGGACAGAGAGACGGTTAGTCCTTGGAATGAGCTCTGCTAATGAATCTTGACATCCCTGCACTGTGGCTCTTCTAGACACTCTCCTGAGAAATTGCATGATTTTGGCCAATTATCTTTAAATCAGCTGCAAAGTCTTTAATTAAGCAGTGTAGGACTGAAATTGAGGCTTTTGAGTGACTGTGGGTGAGCGAACAGTCCTGTTCTTTTAAAAAAAATACATTTATCGAGAGTTGAGTCATTCTGAACTGTTTTTGCCTGACATTTATCCTCCTGTCTCGGTTGCTTAAGGTCTTCAGCTACTCATTGTCTGTGCAAGCGTTTGACAGCGGGTCACCTGCCAAGTCAACCACTGTGAATGTCAATATCGAGATTGCCGATGTGAACGACAACCCGCCGATCTTCTCTCCCGCTAATGCTTCAGCTGTTATTCAGGTGTGAGAGACAGTTTTAACTCTTTTGTTTGCAACAATAGACATTGTCACATACCTATATGCAACATGTTACTGTTGCTTGTGCTTAGAGTTAGGGATTTCAGTGAACTATGAACTAGGACTGACTGATCTATTGAATACATTATATTTTTGTATTGCTATATTATATGTATTGCTCTTATCATTTAGCACTTGAAAATAAGGGTACTCTTTTAAAAAGTCACCCTTTCAAGCCATTTTGGTCCACATACATAAATATTGAGATATATTGTAAAAAGGCAGAAAAATATTGAAATACAGTTCCCCTACTTTTAAGTATTACATTTCGGCACGTAACTCATCTCCCTATGGAAATTATTGCCGATGTGAACGACAACCCGCCGATCTTCTCTCCCGCTAATGCTTCAGCTGTTATTCAGGTGTGAGAGACAGTTTTAACTCTTTTGTTTGCAACAATAGACATTGTCACATACCTATATGCAACATGTTACTGTTGCTTGTGCTTAGAGTTAGGGATTTCAGTGAACTATGAACTAGGACTGACTGATCTATTGAATACATTATATTTTTGTATTGCTATATTATATGTATTGCTCTTATCATTTAGCACTTGAAAATAAGGGTACTCTTTTAAAAAGTCACCCTTTCAAGACATTTTGGTCCACATACATAAATATTGAGATATATTGTAAAAAGGCAGAAAAATATTGAAATACAGTTCCCCTACTTTTAAGTATTACATTTCGGCACGTAACTCATCTCCCTATGGAAATGAATTGTATTGCTTGTTGAGGAGAGGTGTGCTGTGACTTATGATCTACCCCTGCGGATGATAAAGTGTCTAAGAAATCTCATAGACTTACTCTAAAGGAAGTACCTGAGCTATATACTGTATATGGACTGGAATGTCATATAAATTTAGGGTAGGCGTTTTGATTAGGTCTAGGATACAACCACCTAGCAATTACCCTGGACACTCAATAAATTCATACCAACAACCAGGCAACCACCAACAGCACACTAGCATTGTAGTATAGACTTTTGTATGGTCAAGCATCACTCACATTTTCTTCAGAAAATATGAAAATCTTGCGATTTAGACCTTTTTTGAATTTCAAAATGACTATCTTAATTCTGTTTTCTTTTTTTTTTTTTCAAGTTGAACAAGCCTGCAGGAACTACCATCCTCTCACTATCAGTTTCTGATAAGGACTCCTCTAGAAATGGTGCACCTTTTGAATTTCGTATCGTGTCTGGAAATGAGGGCAATGCTTTCAGTCTGGACCAGAATGGAGAATTACGGACAAGCCGAGTATTTGGTCCTGATGCAACACGAGAGTATACGCTTGAGATACAGGTTAGTGCAACAGCTCAAAAAAGTGAACTGTCAGTTAAAAGTGAATTCAGAATTACAGAATTCTCATGCAGGTGTTTCTTCAACTATGAGCACTTTTGACCTCTGTAAACACATTTTTCCAGAATGAAATGTCTTACTACTTTGATTTTCTGAGGCTAATTTTATAACTCATTTTAAATAGTAGTCAACATTTTAAGTGGATCAAAAAAATTACTCAAAGTTGTTCAAAGTCAAGAATGCATTTTGGTTTTAGGACAACTTTGATGAAAGGTTTTGATTCACTTTGAATCACAGGTCCCATACTTCATATTTTTTACAAAGCTCATCGGTCTGAAAAGCGAGGTGTGCTCTGATTGGTCAGCTATCCAGTGCATTGTGATTGGCCGAATACCTCAAGCCTTTCGGTCTGAAAAGCGAGGTGTGCTCTGATTGGTCAGCTATCCAGTACATTGTGATTGGCCGAATACCTCAAGCCTTTGATGGAAATGTTACACCCCTTACCATATTGTGATGCCTTGTCCCAGCCAGAGCGGCAAGACAAAAACATTAAAACCCATTATAAACGAGGCATTTGTTGCATCCAGTGGGGACATAATTACGGATTATAATGACTTATACTGTCTTTTTACGCGTTGCGTTGCATCGCGCTGCGTAAACATAAAACCATGTCTGCATTTGTGATCGGAGAAATGACAAACAACAAGCGCTACTCTACACTGCTCAAAACTCGCGTTTGAATCGTCAGTGGCAAATTCTTTAAATATAAAAAACGTACTTACAGTCTGTGAGTCAGAACAGCCGGCATTGTAGGCTACTCTCCCAGGATCAGGAAACAGTCCTCCATAAAATGCGCTGGACACATCTGAATATTTGGGTTGAACCGTTCTGGAACAGTGTTGTAAATACACCTTAACCACTGATTTCTAGTCGTGTCCTCTTTTCGAAGGCCAAACAAAGTAGTTTCGCTTTCACAACGAAACACACGGCAAAAACAATGCTACAGCGAGAATAAAAGTTATGCCTTCATTCTTTGCGTGAACATTTGGGCGGCGTTATGCAAATCTTTCCACATCGTGACGTAGACATGTGGAGGCGTTTTAGGTAGGTGTGGCTGACTCTTAACTTTTATAAAGAATATCTCTTTGGATTTGAGACTTTAGTCTTTGCAACTTTACAGATCTTCTTTATGCACCAAGAGCTTGTAACACTCCAAAGAGAAAGGAAAAATTAAAATCGCATCATATGACCCCTTTAATAAAATTGGTTTATCTCCTTGTTTGATTATCATAGTTTTAAATATAATTCATATTTTTATGATGGATTTTCATATTTTATGACAAAAGTCTGGGTTTATGACAAGGATAAAACAATAAAAGTTGTATATAATAATTGGAAAATAAAATGTATTAATGAAATAATTAAATAGTTAAATAAATAAATAACTAAATAAACAAAAGGTTCTTATGCAGCTTCAATGTGACCTTCATATAACAGAAAGAGAAATCTGTTTAAATAAAAATAAATCTCTGGAATATAAAAGTGCCTGTAGATGAAGAAACGTGCATGTAGCTGCTGTGAAATTTCTAAGGGATTTAATTCATTTCTTTAGTTTGATGAAGCTTTAAATTGTTAGAATTGTACAGTGTGATCTTGTTCTTGTCAACAAGGCGCGTGATTCAGGGAAGCCTCGTCTGTCCTCCACATCCTTTGTGTTTGTGCGTGTCATCGGAGACAGCCTCTTCAAACCTGTGGCCTTCCCACTGGAAATCAACATTGTCATGGCAGCAGATGTGTTTCCTGGCGGGATTATAGGGAAGATCTATGCCACAGACCGAGATGAGAATGATGTTCTGTCTTTCAGTCAGAGATCACAAACAAACAGTCTTTTCAAAATCAGCAGACAGGACGGGAAGATTGTGGCACTAAATGGCCTGGAGCCTGGAAGGTAAAATAAATGCGAATTTATTTTGAAATGTATATTTCTTCAATTATGGGCTATTTTGGCCTGTGGACCCTAATATAAAAATAATTTCCTTAAAACTCTCTTTCACACTCTCACTGTTTTATTTAAATAGTTTAGTTAAACTAGTAATAGTCCAACACTTACTAATGTTATTTATTTATTTGTCCGTAATAAAGACAACACAATTAATAATTTTCAGACTTATTGGATAATTACAATTAAGAAATAAAAGCTATTCAGAGGAAAACTATTGATGCAGTTGTGGTGGAGGAAATGACTGCTGTGGCACAGTCAATAATTGTGTCATTTGATGTAAATAATTTTCAAAATATAAAGTTTATTTCACTCTTTGTTTAGACAATCATATCATTTAAAAAACAAAAAATATTCTAGGGCAAGCATAAAACAATATATATATAAGCATTTGAAAAATAGCCAGAATAAATGAAGGCATTGTAAAATTCTTCCCAGATTATTTGTTTAATGTGAACTTCTTCATCAAATTATGGAATCTTATTTATACCTCAGAATTTAAAATAAATAAATGTTTTACAACTTGAGTTTATATCTGACAATTCTGACTTTCTTTATTGTACTTCTGAGAAAAAGTCAAACAATTCTGAAAAAGATTATATGATACTGAACTGATATTGTATGATTAAAAAGTCAGAAACAATCTTGTCGCAATTCTCATAATTCTGACTTTTTTGTCACAATTGCAACTTCTCAGAATTTAGATTTTATAGAATAAAATATATGTTTTTGCATAGCTGCCTAATGATCAGTAATGCTCAGTAACAATTTTTTTCAGATACTCCCTAAATGCTACAGTCAGTGATGGGCGGTTTTCTGTGACCGTGGGCGTTAGCGTCCAGGTGGAGCAAGCCACGGATGAGATGGTGCAGAATGCAGTGACTCTGCGTTTTCAAGACCTGTCCCCTGAGGACTTTGTGGGTGTGTACATGGAAGAGCTAAAGAAGGTGCTCCGTACCTCACTGGTTGGTGATGGGACAGGTGTTATTGATGGACCAGACCCTCTTCACATCCTGGGAGTGCAGCCACTGAGTCGCTCCAGTCAGCTGGAGGTGCTCCTTGCCGTGGAGACACCAGATGGGGGTTATATGGGTCCAGGAGAGCTGGCTCTCAAGCTGGAGGAGGTGAAGGGTTTCCTAAAGGGAGTGCTGAGGGTGGTCAGCGTCTTGGATCAGAGCTGCTCAGGAGAGCTTGAGTGCGGGGAGAGAGTCTGTGAGCTCACCCTCAGTCTCGACCCCATCGGCTTGGTCACCTACACCACCTCCAGAGTGAGCTTTGTGTCTCCATGCTTTAGCAGGAAAGAGATGTGCACGTGTCCAGGTTAGCAATTTGATTTTGTCTCAAATGATAAAACTGGCAAAACTGATTCAGATTTATTCCAGGGTTGCCAGATCTCAAACACTATGGGCGTGAGACACATGCTTTCAGGTTCTCATGCTAACCTTAATACATCTCAGGGAAAATAACAAGAAAATGCTTAATGTGCTTGACTTACATTATAATCTTATATTCTTTATTCTGGGAAAAAGTTATGACTTCAAAGTCAGGCGCATATTTCCATTTCACAAAACATAAGAGCAAGCGAATAGCAGCTAACTTTAAACGTCAAATACATATAAAGCAGCGAACAGAGAAAAATGAGCGATAATTTAGATTAAATATTAGAAATGTCATCAAATATTGTTGTTGAACATCAAATTTACGCAAGAAAGTATGTTTTATAGGAACAGTAACTATAATGGAATCTCTACTCTCATGTTGTGTTCTGGTCATTTATCTGTCCTGGAGAGGATTTTCTTTTCCCAAAAAAATGCTAGTTAATTTTATTGCATTAGACTAAAACCTGCTGACTTTGCTCCCACAGGGTATAACAACTTCACTTTTATTTTTTTGGATAATTTTTGTACTTTTTTTTGAGGATTTTCCCCCCTCCACCTAGTTACACTTTTGGCATATTGCATATACATTTCTCGTTATGCTATATTATTACCTAATATTGGATTCAGTCTTTTTTATCAACTTGTTTTCTTTCAATCAGTTTTTGAATAAATATTGCCCAAATTATCTGCAAATGATGTTTTGTTTTCACTCAAAATCGGAGGTGCATAAGTTCAGATCAATGACGCCAATGACCAATCAGTTCCAAAAATAAATAAAAAACCAGTGTTAATGAAAGAAAACAAGTTGACAAAAAGATTGAATCCAATATTTGGTGATAATATGGCATAATGAGAGATTTACAAGCAATTTTTAAAAGCCAAATTTTTGACTAGAAGCATTATTATTATTATTATTAATATTACTTACTGGTGCCCCTCTAAAACATTAGGTAGGTAAACAGCATGCATTTCAGTATTGAAAATGTAATAAAAACGGTACTACAGTAACCTTAAGTATTAAGATAAAATAAAAAAATGAATTGTTGCCTCCTCAAAACCTCAAATAGGTGCCTGTAATTGATCTGCCCATTCCATCAAAATCTCACTCCAGCCAGGTAACCAAATTTGGCAACCCTGTTTATTGTAGGAGGCATTTCATAGTATGCATTATTTATCCTGGTTGATTAAATTCAAACAGTAGCTTGAGTGGCAGAATTTACATTTGCTTGCTTTCTAACTTTTTGTACCCACTGCAGGAGGAATATGTCCATCTTCTCTGGAGCTCTGTGATGGCCAAACGTGTCCGTCTGACATGCAGTGTGTGCGCAGCGGCCCTGCAGCGCCTTCTTTCTGCCAGTGTCTGCCTGACACGCTGGACAAGTGCGCAGGTTAGATCAAATAGGCTTTTCACGCTGCTCCTTTTAAACCCTGGTTTGAGGCCATGTATAATGTTGGGTAAAGCAACATTTTATATTTCAAAAAGAGGGTTTGCAACACTTTCAACACATGTAAGCTGGTAAATATTCAAATGCTTTTTCACATTTAATTGCAGCATTTGAGGGATGATGTAAAAAAATAATTTTGATTGCAAATACAAAATTAAAAATAACATATATCACATATATTTATTTGATTATGTAATAATTTAGTTATAAATTAGTATAGAGAATAGAGATTTGCCTAATAAACATTGTCTTAAAATTCAAGTGCATTTATTTAAATATTCAAAAATTTCAAAACATACAAAACAAATCTGTTATTGCATAATATTTTTAATCATTTGAAATCAAATGGGGATTGATGCATGCATGAAAACATTGGATATGTAATGCAAATTTGTTGCAACGGATCTCTACAGACATTTTGTTCTTACCAAAACATGCTTTTACTTTGGGGAAAACCATATAGCATGATATAATACAAGTGATGCCATATATAAATGTTTATTTTGAGCCCCTCAGGCAGCTCCAAGTGTGTCACTACTAATACATGACAAAAATTCAGAATGCATTTTCCTTTAGCCTGATATGGTGGGCAAAAGTTACGTAAACGTTCATTTCCCTTCAAAATAACGGTTCCCTCTTGTGGAATATCCTGAGGGTGTGTCAAACATATATATTTAAATGACATTTCTTCATATGTGATTGAGGCCAAACACTTCTGCGAATATCTTTTGTGAAAGTATGTATAAATAGCAGATTTTGAAATATGGTGTTAGCCCTTGACTGACTGATTTCTGTACCTGTGCTGGCAGGCCAAACATCTCTGAGCTTTGCAGGGAACAGTTACATCAAATACAGAGTGACGGATAGTGATAGGAGCGGAGACATGAAGCTGGGCTTGAGAATCAGAACGCTGCACAGCCAAGGAGTCATCATGTACACACGCGCTGACCCCTGCACACTGCTCAAGGTCAGATGGATACAGAGATATGATTTAAACTATTATTTTCTACATCATTACATTAGATTATATACACATTATTAAGTACAATTTTACTACCGTTCAAAAGTCTAGAGTTGGTACTTGGTAGGAGTTTTTTTTATGTTTTTGAAAGAAGTCTCTTATGCTCACCAAGGATTATTTATTTGATCAAAAATACAGTAAAAACAGCAATATTGTGAAATATTATTACAATTTAAAATAAGTGTATTCTATTATATGTTATGCAAATTATTCCTGTGATGCAAGGCTGAATTTTTATCATCATTACTCCATTCTTCAGTGTCACATGATCCTTCAGAAATGTGAACAGTGTCCTTGCTAAATCAAAGAATGGATTTTTTCTTTAAAAAATGAAAAGAATAAATAAATGTAACTAACCTGAACTATTAAATGGTAGTGTGTATATATAGATGTATGTCATATTTAGAAATTTTGGGGGGCATTATTAAGTACATGTCATTGTAGGTACTTACAATTTATGTTGATTTCATCAACAAAAATCATTGTTTTTACTGGTTTTCTGTACAACATTATGTACTGAAGTGAACCAAATACAATAATGACATTATGGTACACAATATTATGTTAACAAAAATTATAGTTAAAATTATATATATATATATAGTGTCTGTGCAATTGTGTTTGTTTGTTCAGATAGAGGAAGGGCGTCTGTGGTTCCAGATGGACTGTGACAACAGACTGGACATCCTGGGCATCTCAGGGCGTCCAATCAATGATGGGTCCTGGCACGCCGTGACCCTGGAGCTCACTAGTAACTACACTCTCCTTTCGCTGGACGACAGCTATGTGGAGCGCCGGCGTTCTGCGCGGGCCCCTGTCCGCATCTGGCCCCTGGCCGCAGACGGATCGCTGTTCTTTGGGGCTCAGGTGTTGCACGGACCAGTGGGCAGAGGCAGCCAGAGGCCCCCACGGGCGCAAGAAGGCTTCCAGGGGTGCCTCGGGTCCATCATGCTCAACGGGAATGAACTCCCTCTTCAGAATAAGAGGAGCCGGTATGCAGAGGTAGCTGGGCTGAGTGACATGAAGCTGGGATGTGTTTTATACCCTGATCCGTGCCTCGGAAGACCGTGCCAGAATGGAGCTTCTTGTACAAAGCTGCCCTCTGGTGGTGAGAATTAGAAAGCGCATATAACCATCAATACATCAATAACGGTCAGACGTTCAGATTTTAGTCCTTAGCTCTGTATTAGCTCTGTCTTAGAAGTCTTGTTTCTCTTTGAATTTGTCCCCAGACTTCTCATGCAGCTGCCTGCCACAGTTCACGGGGTCCCGCTGTGAGATGGAGGTGACGTCCTGTGTGCCCTCACCTTGTCAGAATGGGGGTGATTGTAAGGCTGTGGGAAACACCTTCCTCTGCGGTTGCCTCAAAGGCTTTACGGGACTCATGTGAGACATTTTATTTCATTATATTCTATTTGTAGGATTTACCATTAATCTTGCATACATTTCAGACCTTTATAACTTTTAAGATGTCACACCACAGACAGTTTGGTAGTAACTGAGACAAATGATAACACATAAGACATCAAGTAAAAATTTAAATTTCTCTAGAAGGACTACACAGTAGGTACTATTATTTTTGTAATTTTCGTGTGAAAAAATATAAATGTATGTAATATATTGTATGTAATATACTCTTAAAATATGATTAATGCCAACCAATTATTTTGAAAATAACTTGTTTTAAATATATATCAATACATATACATATTATTTTATTGGTGTTACCCAATAGATTGTCTCATTAAAAAAATGGGCAATTCTAACCATTCTTCAGTACATTTTTAAATGAATATATATATATATATATATATATATATATATATATATATATATATATATATATACACATAATAAAATATATATATAT